CAAAAAATCTTAAGCGGATATAAATGTTTGCTCTAAGGTTATAAAATCATATGTGGTGGCTTAGTGATATTTTGTTAGTGATATTGAGTTGGTATTTGTAGAAATAATTCTCTATTTGAAGTATATTAAGAAATCGTAGTGTCTCAGTTTCCATAATATGGACTGATTCTTTGAATATTGCTCCATTTTGGAGACAAGTAATGAGATATTATTACTCCACTTCAAAGACAAGTGTTCAAATTTGAAGCATTGAATCTTATCCTTGCCTCCTTGGAGAGATTTCTTCACATTAGAGAGCCAAACAAATCCCAACACTCCATCTTATTGTAATTGAGTTGTACAATATCATATCTTTTTGTCATTATAAATCAAATGAATTTATCTCCTTTGCACAGGTCTTTAAGCTGCGCAAGTTGTAGCTTGTAGAGGCGAATAAGTAGTCTAGAAGAAATGGAGGGTTATTAAGGATAATATCTATCAAGATCCCTATAATTACTCTATACAATTATTCTCTATGATTCTCTCATTTATTATATGATTCTGTAGCTCTCCTATATATACCTTTGTAATTCTCATCATATGAAATAAGACAACACAATATTCTTATATTCAATATGGTATCAGAGCAGGTTATTTGTGTGAGTTTTGATCCACCGATCAAACTCAATCTATATATTGTTTAACTCAAAACACGTTTTTCTTCACTTTCTTATAGAGCTTTGTGCTCCTTTTTTTTTCATAGCACTTTTTCCATTCTTTATTTTTGAATTTTTGTTTTCGTTTTCTTTCATCTCATTTACAAAAAAAAAAAAACTCTACAAATCTTTCCACCGTATGCCGCCCATCCTAATATGATATTCGGTCAAGTCGTTTACGGCTTCATCAAGCTATAGGTTTCCACACGACCAATGTCGTCCAAGATCTAAGTTGATCACTTGTTTAAGTCCATAATGACTTCTCCTAAGCTATATGCTTCCTTCAACCTCCACATACACGTTCGTTGAGGTGTTCCCATCAGTCACGGTAAATCCGTCTACCGCATGGTTCAAGCGCGATGTTTCTTCTTTCTTCCTATCAAGTTTATCAAAGATTCAATCTCAAGCCAATGTTTCCGTCTTCACTTCATCTCCGCCTTGAGCTTGAGGGGTCATATTAAGGATAATATCTATCAAGATCCCTATAATTACTCTATACAATTATTCTCTATGATTCTCTCATTTATTATATGATTCTGTAGCTCTCCTATATATACCTTTGTAATTCTCATCATATGAAATAAGACAACACAATATTCTTATATTCAATAAGGGTCCGGTGAAATCTTTTGGTCTGTCGCTAAATGTCAAAAACATTAGCACACAAAAAATCTCAAAAAATTCATACAAACATTAAACTCAACACTAAAAAAAAAAACAAACATTAGAAAATAGTAAACTCAAAACCACATATAAAATACGTACAAGAAAGGAAAAAAAAAATAACACTAACAAACCAATAACTTCACATGTCATAATTATAGTAAACAAAACTTTTCATGGATGCATTTATTTTATGTCAACTCTTTGTTTATATATTGATAGATTTCAATGATATCTAGTTATAATATTTTCAATAAAAATTCGTAGTCATTTATGCAATATCTGAGATTTCTTTTCATTTTGATTTCATGCATTGTATTTCTTAGAGAGATTCATGTGGATGAGCTGATTAGTGATCTCTTCTACAATAATAATCATTTCAATATATACTTTCTGAAGTATATATGTCATAAAAATTTCAAATGACAATTTTATTATAACTATACACATTTTGTAATTTTTACTCTCTTTCATGTGAATCTAATCTTTATTTGTCAAATTTTCAATGCAAAAACACCCTCAATGCAAAAATACATATTTATCGAGTTTTGCCACACATATATTCTCTCTTTTCAAATATCTATTTACGTAAGATTGTTTATTTATATTCAAATATTCAAATATTTTATTGATCAAGTGAACAATTGAAATGGTTTTATACATACAAAAGGAGGTAATATTCTATATATAAAAATAAAGGTAACCTGTCACAATTATCATCTGATACAAATAATTATAGATGTCAAACGGGCCAACCCGCGTCCAAGTCGGCCTGATGCGGATTTTTTTTTTCGGGTTTGGCGGGCTGGCCCATCATAAACTGCGGTCCCAAATTGATGCATCCAAGCCCGACCCACCTGTACTCTACAGTTTTGCGGGCTGACCCGTGGGTTCATACTTTCTTCTTCATCTTAAAGTTCTTATGACATTTAGACTTATATAACCAGAAAATCTGCAAGAGGAGAATAAAGTTTTGCTCGTAACTGAATCACAATATGCATAAGAAACAAAACTAAAGAAAATTCTTTGTCTAAGTAAATTCGATGAACAAACAAATGAATTCAATAAACCTCCTATACAAAACTCCTAGCTCTAGGATGCCATAAGATTTGAAAAATCAATTTAACGATAAGAATAAACACTTAGTTTTGAAAAGAAAATAAATGAATTACAAATAATGATACACATCAAAACTGGTAATTTAAGCTAGATAACCATCAAGATGCAAGCAACAAGACATTCACATATAAAATAAAAAAAAAAAAACAGATGAACAAAGCTTATTTGTTAGTCCAGCGTTCAAACAAATGTGATTCTCAAGCAAAACTATTTATTGTCAATTCAAGATTTAAGCGATTCTAAATTACATTTGCATCGATGCGGACAAAATAAAAATCACGTCTGTGATATAGTCGATGAGCAAAACCAACAAAAAATCAAACTTATGACATTAAACTGAAATTAAAACTCTAAAAAAATACTAGATTTTAGTTGGGAAGACAATGACCAGATTTTTTCCCAAATTTAAAAATCCAATCAGAGAATCTGAATCGAATCGAATATAAAACACATACTAGTTTGATGTTTGCTTGATCTCATTGAAATGAAGCTATCACAAAGCCTAATAGCTGAATTGTGTGACTCCACTAGGCTTTGATTCACTCCATGAAACTACTACTTTAAATCCACCAATCAAAGATGACAAAATACTTCACTTTTCGAGTTTTACAAGAAAACATCAAATTCTGCGGATTAGCCCGCAAATCCGCGGATCCGCTCTGACCCTATCCGTAAAAGTCCAACTTCTATGCGAGTTTGGACCGCAAAACCCGCTTTTTATATGAAAAAATTTTATGGAGCCCAAATCCGCACTACTACGATTCTACTTGGTCCGAACCCATGGGTCAGAGCCCAATTTGACACCTCTACAAATAATCTCATGGATGCATTTATGTTATGTCAACACTTTGTTTCTAAACTGACAGAGTTTAATGATATATAGTTACAATGTTGTCAATAACAATTTATAGTCTTTTATGCAATATATGAGTTTTTTTTCCTTCCAATTTCATGCATTGTATCTTTGAGATTCATGTGGATGAGATGATTAGCGATATCTTCTGCAATCTGCAATATCTATGTAACAGTTATTTCAATATTTCGTGAAATTCAAAGTTACCATAAACATTTCAATCACATTTTGTTATTTAACAATACACATTTTATAAGATTTACATTTTTCAATGTGGTTTTAATATTTATTTGTTATATTTCCAATGCAGAAACACCCTAAAATGCATTATTTTATTTATTTTTATTTTGTATTATTATTAGTGCATTAGTACAAACAACCTAAAAAGAGTTAATGCTGGAAGAACTAGACATAGACAAATTCGTAGTTATGGAATATTGACTGAGTTTTTCGAAAAAAAATATTCTAAAAAACGGTATAGGTGGCCGCCTAAACGGTCCTAACCGGTTTTACATGTTCTAAAGTGGTTTTAGGCGGCTCTAGGCGGTTCTAGACGGTTTTAAGGGATTCTAGATGATTTTAAGCGGTTCATCAAAATTGTTAATCAGTTAACATTTGTTTTTTAGGTGCCGTTTTTGATTTTTTTTTGTTATTTTAATATGAATATAGTGAATGTTTTTGTCTAATATATATATATATATATATATAACATTTTTGATGTTCAAATAGATGTTTTATCTAATTCAAATATATGCTATATTTTAATGTTTTATATTTGACATTTATAAGATTTCTTTTAGTTCTTGTGTGTATTTGAACTTTGAATCTATGTTTAAGATTAATAATATTTAAATTTTATTATTTATATATATATATAACATTTCTGATGTTCAAATAGATGTTTTATCTAATTCAAATATATGCTATATTTTAATGTTTTATATTTGACATTTATAAGATTTCTTTTTGTTCTTGTGTGTATTTGAACTTTGAATCTATGTTTAAGATTAATAATATTTAAATTTTATTATTTATGAACTTTGCATTCTATAAAAATATATATAATATATTTATTTATCTCATAAACATTTAAACCATATAATCGTCTAGACCACGTCCTAGGAGCTAGGCATTGTATTACTGGCCGCTTAATGCTTTCTTGAACTTTTTAGATTTTTTCCACATCTTTCCGAATTTATAAAAGTATACGTACATTCTTTTAATTAAATTATGATCCATAACTTGATCTATTTACCAGAGTACCTGAAAGTTTAAAAATTTGTAAAACAGCCCCATAACTTTTTATAAGACCCATATCAATTGAAATTTACAAAAATTCTCAGGAATACTGAATTGCCCCCAGTTCTATAAATTTACCGGAAACTTTATTATTTACTGAATTGTCTCAGATCTTTTGAAGTTGTACAAAAGTGCGCATAACGTTTGCAATTTACATAAATGACTTTCTTCCAGTTATAGAAAACCACCAAAATCTTATGCTCTTATGCTTTTGATATTTCGATCCACAATACCAATTATAAATGTTTCCCCAAAAGATCAGAGAGAATTGCTTGAACGATGTTTTGCAACTGATCGTGAATAAAAGACTTGGTATCTAACTATGTACCCCAAAACCCCAAAAAAAGGCTTATACAAAACTATGGGATACGGAGACAAAGGCTTAAAGCCACATAACATATATCAATAACACCAATTTGATTTTTCACGTATTGTAACATAACTATAAACTGACACAGATTGCAAACCACCACAAGGGTACACAATCTCATAGTTGATAGATGAAACACATCGTCATCAAGACATCAAATACAATAATACCCAAATATAATGAAAGGAGTTAAAAGTTTCATAACCGTCAAGAGGAAACTGTTAACAGAAACATATATCATCACTCCATAAAACAAACTTATTCAATGCCCTTTGCAAGGGTTTTGTTTTGCTTAGTTGGTGCGGCTCTTGAAAACATCAAGACCCATCTCGGTTGGATCGGTTGCTTGAAGCTCCACTTGAATCCCATCTAGCTCTCGCTTGAACCTATCCTTAGAGCTCGCGTAAATCATCTTGTCTCTCACTTTGGCTGTGTCAGGAGACCTTGTACCACACAAACACAAACACAAATTCTTGAATCTTGATGATCATCTCATAAACACAAATCCAAGGACATATACGTTAGTAATTGTCTTTTTACCATGCGATGAAGAAAATCTTGCTCTTCTGGCAATTCTCCTCAGTGACAAAGTCGAAATCATAGATGCAATATCGGCATTCATTATCTGGAAGACTTGCTGCAAAGTCATCGTATGATTGTTCAGGCTCGCCGAGTTTCTCTACAATCACTTGCTTGTCCTCAATCTTGTACACTATGGTACGGAATGTTCGTTTTGCCTTCAGTTCCAAGAATTTTAGCTTGCAATCATCGTGCACAGCCATTCCCGACGCTGCGTTAGCCTGTTATAATCAAAGTATCATCAATACACAGAGAAGAACAGTAAGAAGATGCAAATCTCTTCAAGATACATTTCTAGACCAAAAGATCCACATCATTCAATACAAATATTTGCATTGATAACATTAAATTGTAGAGAAGCTAAATAGTTTTTAGTTTCCAGACAATTTGAAAGATTTAGAACAATTTAGACTTCAATTACGAATCATCATGAGGATTGAAAAATGTCTTACTTCGGAAGACCAGAATGATCAAAATAGATCGAAAAATCGACTATCACTGATGAAATTATTCAAAACCTCTTGTAATTAGCTCTAAACTCAATATATGAACTTCGAGTAAGAAAAACACACTGAAGAATCAGATTCCTCCTGATTTCAGATTTAACTATCGAAGAAGCACAGCAAAGTTACGAGTTCTTCGTCGGATTTCTATGAACAAATCCGATCACACACACAAAATATCAAAGATCGACGAATATATAAAATAATCTCCAGATCTAAACGAACAAGAAGCGTTCACAAAATATACTATCCGAGACGAAAACCAACCGGATTTGGACTCAAATCGACAAGCAAGCAAGCAAATCGAGAAGGAAGCTTTTAAATCGAAGAACTCAAAGCATATAGGAGAAAAAATTTAGCTCACCATGGCTGAATCAAACCGATTTCAAAGAAAATTTCTGTTGAAATGAAGAAGCGGAAGAAGATATATTCCTCGGTCGGCAAAAATCGATGGAGAATATTAATGACTTTTTTTTTTCTTTTTCTTCACTGTTTCTTCTCTCTTCCTTCTCCTCAGCGTTATTTGTAAGCTATCCGAATATTATTTTTTCTTTTTGTATAGAAAAATATTTCTTTTGCTTATTTGTTTTCTTTGCATTTGCTTACTATGGATCAGAAAAATATCAATTAATTTCTTTATAGTTTTTATTGAGTATTCTAATCAAATTATTTATCTCGAAACAGTACAATATGTTTGAATTCGTTCGATTTTTTTTTCCCACCAATATTGAAAATGTCATCGATTAGTTGATAAATCCGTGGAATAAGTTCATAAGATTAGAGATTGCAAGCTAAATCTCTTACAAAGTTTTTCAGATGTGGTCAACAAAACCAATTGTCAAAACGACAAATCTAATCATAAGAAGATATTGTGGTCGATTAAAAATCTGTAAATGCAATCTGACCCAGACGAATTGGTCCACATATTGTTTTGTTCTTAACATTAAGTCAAAGCTAAGTTCGGCTTTGGACTGTACTGTTTCTCTTTGTATTATGAACAGATTAATCACATAAATAAATCAGTTTCGAACCCAAAACCTAAAATTAACCTAAAATTAAAATCAAATCAAGACTGATTCCTCTACCAGGCTCGATAAGTGTCTTCACTTCATCAAATTCAAAAACAGACTAGAATAGTATTCAAGACTCAAAACAAGTCGGATCGAGCTGGTTTGACATACCATAACAGATTTAAACTCTTGTGATCATGTAGATCGACCTTTAATGGCATGAATGTAACATTAAATGATACCAAAAGGGTTCATCTTCAATTAGACGAATTGAGTCTTTACACTCAGAAACCCACTCAAAATAGTGAAATCTACAACGAAGATGGAACACCAAAGACAACATTGAACACAAAGACCAAACACAGATAAAAAATGAAGTTTTTAGGTTCATAACCTTCACAGCATAATGTAAATTATAGAAAAAAAAGTAACATCACTCCGAAAATAACAGGATAAGAGAATAAGATCATTCAAAGAGAGAAACTTTGAGTGTTTACTTTTAGTTGGCACGGCTTCTGAAAACATCGAGATCCATCTCGGTTGGATCAGTTGCTTGAAGCTCTACTTGAATCCCATCTAGTTCCCTCTTGAACCTGTCCTTGGAGCTCGCGTAAATCATCTTGCTTCTCACCTTAGCTATGTCCGGGCACCTTGGCGAAAAAAACAGAAATTTGCATCACATGAATAAGATAAAACCTTTGGAAGGTAATGAGAAACAACAAGACACAGAGTTTATAGACTATGCAATTAGTTTACCACGCGATGAAGAAGATCTTGCTCTTCTGGCAGTTTTCAGCTGTGACAAAGTCGAAATCGTAAATCGCATAACGGCATTCATCAGCAGGAAGACTTGCCGCAAACTCCTCAAAGGTTTGGACTGGTTCACCGACTTTCTCAACAATCACTTGCTTCTGCTTCTCCTCGATCTTGTAAACGATGAAACGGTGTGTCCTTTTCGCCTTCAGTTCCAGAAATCTTAGCTTGCAGTCATCGTGCACAGCCATTCCTGATGCCGCGTTAGCCTGTTAAATCCAAAAAACATGAAAATGAAACAACTTTTCACAGAACATATATTCAAGACTTCTTACTCAAAACACAATCCTAAAAGTCCATCAAACCCATTTCATTTAAGGCCATAGCTATTATTCTCAGACCTCTATGATGATTGGATTGTGCATAGCTATTATTCTCAGACCTCTATGATGATTGGATTGTGCATAGTTAATACATCAACCTAAGAGATTACATGAAACTGATGAACAATAGTGAAACGGCTAGTTCAAGACAAAGCAAAACAAAATTGAAATGCAATCGAAAACGAAAGATCTATATAGATCAGTTTGAGTGATCACGAAAACTGAGAAATGTCGATTTCAAGACACGAGAAGTGACTGCATAAGAACAACCGAATATCACCGAAATTGATAGATATCACTTAAAAAAGGTTCAACAAGTAAGAGCCCTAAAATCCACTGAAATCTCACATGAAAAAAAAAAAAACACTAAGTCTTAGATTTCTTCTGATTTCAAATTTTAGCTATCGCAATCGAAATAAACACAGTAAACTCAGCAGATAAGTTCTCGCGTTGCTTTGATCCTAGATCAGTCACACAACGATCACAGAAACACTAAATCTCAGAGATCTAAGCCCAGAAAATAATCAAATCCATCTACAGATCTAATCGAAACAGAAAAGTGAGCCAAAAAAATCGTAATCCGAAGATTTAAATACGAACCAAAACGCGTTGCAACCCCAAATCGAGAGGCGCACTCGAGATCGAGGATTTCAAAGTATAAAAGATTAAGTGGAAAAGTTGAGCTCACCATCGTTGGAAGCACACTGAAATCAGAGCAAATTTCTGCTTAAACGAAAGGAGAGACGATGATATTTTCTTCGGGCGGCTAAAATCGACGGAGAATACGGTCAGTCTTTTTTTTTCTTCTTCTCTATTTCTTTCCTCTTCCTTTCTTCAGCTTTTATTCGGGAAACCATACATAGCTTACCGTATTATATAAGATTTTTTTTTTATTATCTAATTCAGTTTTCGTGTAAGTCTTTTTCAATAATATCATCAGAAACAAATTTCTTACTTCCATAATAAGAAAATAAAGATGCGCACATTAAAAAATTAAATGATTTGGTTCTATATATTTTTTTCCGGATGTATAAAATCACTCGAAAATATACAAAATATTGTTTATAACTTTTAATGTTTATTTGTTTGTCATAAATTTGAAGTTTTTAATTGTTGACCGTTTACAAAAATAAAATGATGCTCACTCTAAATAATTTGAAGAACATAGTCATTATTGTAATTTTGGAACATACATATATACCAGTCTAGACAGAAATGTTTTGTCAATTATAAATTTATAATAGTTAAGTGAATGACAAACTAACATAATACATCATGAATCGGTTTCAAAATTTTAATACTTTAGTTAGTTGCTGTCTTGCTAAATGCTGTTATATCATATATCTATAAAAGTTGTTATTTGATTAAAAAAAACACTTACGAATTTCTTTCAAAGCGTTAAAATGTCCCATGTACGAAAGCTAATAGCTATTTTTAGAGCTAAACACTTTCCATACATATATTTTGAATATGTATAGATATGTTTTGACTTTTGACCAAAACAAAATGTACATATGTATGGAATTGTAATAAGAAACAAAAAAGACAAGGGGGAAATAATAGATATTTGGGTAATGGGACTACATAAATTACATAGAGAAAACAAAGGCCACTAAAAGTAGTCAATAAGTATATATTCAATCTAAATCTAAAGAAACGTAGACTTAATACTTGTATCATATTTTAGAGTGAATTATATTATAAGGCACTTTCTTCACTTTCCTTACTCGTACTTGTAACTATTTGGGTACTTTCTCTCATCTCTCTCTTTGTGAAAGGATATAGAAGCCCTTACTTTTTACAACTAGTACAAACTTTACTGTTTTCTCTATTTTTTTTTACCACCGCCAGATCTATGTTTTCCGGTCAGCGTACATTTCAGTTATTGGCGAGAATTCCTTGACTGAACTAAATCTGACCAAGAAATCGAGCTATTTTTTATGAAAATCTGATAAGAGTGAAAGTTATTTCAACGTGTTTGATCCTGTAAGATGCGTTTAACGTGTACGCAAACGATTTCGGTTTGGTATCGTCGTTCGTTTTAAAATCCGTACAGATGCGTATACTGATAAACACACTGGTGAAGCATTTCATCACCATAGCGTGTGCGATGAAAATGTATCGTAGTGGATAAATGCGCAGGACATATTATGGTGGATGGGTTTGGGTGAATTTAAGTTAACTGTCTCACAAAATCGAAAAGAATGAGAACAATGTTCGGTGGATGACAATGTTAGGTGGATGACAATGTTCGGTGGATGCAGTTTGTACTATGTAAGTTGTTGGATGAAATGTAATCGACTATTTGGATGTATAGTTGTTTGGTCATTTCCCGCCTTGAAGTTGAAATTTTTCGGGCCCGCTTTTAATCTACCTTGTACAAATCCTTACCGTCGGATTCACATTTAATGTTTATAATCGAACGGCTGGGGTTGCAGTGGCAGATAAACGTCAATTCCGTCTGTTTTGGGAACCGAGTAATATTAGGTTAACCTGTTCCATTCCAGCAGACACGTTCGGTGCTGGCGGAAAAAGTTTGCAAAGGTGTGCCTTCTTACTATTTTCAGTTGTAATGGTGGATGTTTAGGCCGTGGACATCAACTAAAACTTTTTTTTTTGCTTCTCTCGTGTAGTCATGGAAGAACATTGTCTTGTAATATGTGGTGAGTGGATTCGTTCAAGAGAGGGACTTTGGGATTTCGTTGTGGACAAGATGAAGATGTCTAGAGTAGTATCTCTTAGGTCAGGCGTTACTATATCGGAGTTAAAAAAAGTGTTTTGAATGTTTTTTTCGATGTTGGTGTAACATTAAGCTACTGGCCTCCTAATAGCACATAATTAGCAACTGGAATATCTACTCCCCCGGTTATGGTTACAAACGAGTGTTTTATAGGTTATTTCTTAAAACACTTCAAGGTTCAGAGTAGTGTAAACCTATTCGCGAGGTTTGAGGGCGATGAGGTATCGATTGGTAAAAACGGGTTTGAGGGTGGTGGCAGTGCTGTTCAGAACACTGTTAGAGGGAGAAGCTGAGGCAGTGAGTCCTCGGGTGACCTTTCTGGGTATAAAACCCCATTTCCTACGAGAAAGGGGCCGGGGGATGTCGATATTGGTGGTTTTACGTTTAAAACACCACTAGCAAATAATGGTAATGCAATGTATAAAGAACCAGTTCCAACGAGGATGCGTAAATCAGTAGGTTGTGAAATAACTGGTTTTGGTAAAAAGCTTGGGTTTTTCCAGGGAAATGAAGCTGATGAGAGCATGGAGAGTGGGTTTAAAACAAGTAGCCATTCTTCTCTTGGCAGTGGGAGTGTGGATGGGATTCCAAATTTGGCTAACATCCCGCGAATGTCTTCAATGTCCGAAGATAGTACAGGTTGCTGCTTCTCGACGCCTAAGACGACAGTAGAGACTGGGAAAACTTTTGAAGAGTATCCACTGACGTCTAGGAAGAGGGATTTGGTTAGCGATGAAGATAGCTTTAAAGCTAAGAAACCTATTAACAGGTCTGTCGAAGGACCAATATCTGATATGGATAACAGCATGGACGAAGAGCTAGTACAACACGCCGTGATGGTAGAAGAATTTTTTAGCGCTGGTCATGGAAATTGTTAAAACAAGGGTACTGGGCAAGTAGACGCTGATGGTGCAGTTAACTCAAACAGTGATGATGATGATGTAAGTGACATTGGAGATGAAGTAAATTTCGATTGTATGTCTCATGAGTTCGATAAGGAATTTTGGGAACCATTCCTAGATGAACAATTTGCTGGGTCCAATGTTGTGGAGGTTATGTGCGACCCTGTAGATACAGCCGACAAGAAGTGGAGTAATTTACATGAGGGAGAAGTTTACAGGTGTAGAACCAATGATGCCTTTGACCACGATGTGTATGTGGGTACACCACCATCTGGTGGATTCTCAAAGCATGAAAGTAGTGGATGGATGGGAATGGACGGGACGGTTCCTCGTACCCCCAGTCCACGTGATCTCAGGAGTGTGGACAATGAGGACTTTGATATCCCGCCATTGTTCGATGACACCCAGTACGAGACTGCAGATATTTTAGACTTAGACCTTGTGGACGGGGAGGATTGCGTCAGAGTTGGTAAGGTTTATCCTTCGAAAGAGGATTGTCAGATTGCGCTAGCAGTCTATGCAATTAAGGAGATGTTTCAGTTCAAGCAGACATTAACCAAGAGGAACCGTTTTGTTTTAAGTTGTGTCGACCCCCGTTGTGTCTGGCGAGTTCTTGCAAAGGAAATAAAAGATAGTTCTTATTACGAAATAAGAAAGGCACAGCTTGAACACAGTTGCGATATCGAGACCAGAAAGGCGTTCAAGAAAAGAGCATCTGCGCGTGTTATCGCTGCCGTCTACAAATCGAAGTTTGGTGACCCAGTTAATGGTCCTAAAACAAGGGAGCTGCAGCGACTTGTGCTCGAAGATCTCTGTGTGAATGCTTCTTATATGAAGTGCTATAGGGCGAAAGAGAGTGCTCTTTTGGGAGTTAGAGGTGGACACGACGAGTCATACAGTAAACTGCCTGAGTATCTATACATGTTGAAATATGCAAATCCTGGAACAGTTACAGAATTGAAGACAGAAACAGATGAAAATGGGTTTGAGAGATTTAAGTATGTGTTTCTCTTGTTCGGTGCATCTCTGGCTGGATTTAGAAGACTAAGGCATCTAATTGTCTTGGATGGAACTCATCTGGGTGGGAAGTACAAGGGTGTGTTGCTAACGGCTAGTGGACAGGATGCTAACTTCCAAGTGTTTCCACTAGCGTTTGCTGTAGTGGATAGTGAGAATGATGTATCATGGACATGGTTCCTTCGGTGTTTGGAGAGGTTACTTGCTGACAGCAATCGGTTGACAATCATTTCGGATAGACACAATTCTATAAAGGCGGCGAAAAAGTTGGTGTATCCTAAGGCAAGTCATGGAGCTTGTATTGTTCATGTTCAGAGGAATGTCACTTCAAGGTATAAGAATAAAGGACTGTCGAAAATGGTAGGAGTTGCTGCTTTTGCATTTTCAATTCCTGATTTCAGGAAGCTCTTCGGTAAAGTCAGATCTATGAATGGTGATTGTGCTAGTTATTTAGAGAAAATGGGTACAGCTACTTGGTCTCGAGCGTATTTCCCAGGGGATCGTTATAACCTGGTGACTAACAACATAGCAGAAACGCTGAACAAAGCATTGAGGGAAGGGAGGAACTCCCCCATCATAGAGCTCTTGACTTTTATCCAGAGTATGATGACTCGATGGTTTGCTGCTCGTCGTAAAAAATCTGCTAGGTATCGCGGGATTGTGACCCCGGAGGTGGACAAAGTTATGACTAAGTACATGGAGGTCACAAAAGAAAGCAAAATCAATAGCGTTTCTAGCTGGAGTGTACAGATTATTAATCGTTTCGGAGGAAAGCACAATGTAATTTTAAATGACCGCAAATGTACTTGTCAGGCTTATCAGAAGCTTAAAATTCCTTGTGGCCATGCTCTTATTGCTGCGGATTCTGTTGGTCTTCCTTATGCGAGTTTAGTTGGTGATTGTTACAAGACGAGTACATGGAGGGAAACATATCAAGGTGTGATTAATCCTGAGGCCGACCCGAATGAGGTTGAGATACCAGTGGAAGTGAGTAGTTCTATTCTATTCCCACCGAAAACAAGAAGGCCTTCAGGCCGTCCTAAGGAGTTGCGGATACCATCAACCGGGGTGATAAAGGTAAAGTTAATTAGTTGGTAACTTTATTGCAGTGACAGGAAATAATATTAACGGTAGTAACATCTGCAGGGAACTGGTGTGAAAAAATATGTGCCGAACAAGTGTGGACGCTGTAGAATGTCTGGACACAATCGAAGCAGCTGCGCCAATCCGATA